TCTGCAGACAGCCCATGTTCATGCCTGAGATGTATGCAAATTTTGATTGTGACATATCTTGCAGCAATGTATTTGAAGACCTTGCAAACCTGTTATCCAAGAGTTCCTTTCCGGTCAACATCCCACTATCAGCTTTAAATACGCTCGCCTTAGATGGTCTAATTGCCATGATGGAGGGAATGGCCGAGAGAATTAGCCAGGATTCATTTGTTTCTGATCAAGCTTCAATAGATCTGGGTGAATATAGATCGTTTTGGACAGAGATATGCAAGGACTACAGTGATCCTAATCATTGGGTTCCATATCTTCGTAAGATGAAGGTCATAAAGAGGAAATTGTTGATTGGAGTTGATCACTTTAACCGAGATCCAAAAAAGGGTATGGATTTTCTCCAAGGAGTGCATTTGTTACCTGAGAAACGTGACCCAAAAAGTGTAGCATGCTTTTTCAGGTATACGACTGGCTTAGATAAGAATCTTATTGGGGATTTCCTAGGAAGTCATGAAGACTTCTATATTGAAGTGCTTCACGAATTTGCAGGAACATTTGATTTTCGGGGCATGAACTTAGACATAGCCTTGCGAATCTTTTTAGAAACCTTCAGATTGCCTGGAGAGTCTCAGAAAATACAGAGGGTGCTTGAGGCATTTGCTGAGCGATATTACGAGCAGTCGCAAAATATTCTGGCTGACAAAGATGCTGCACTATTGTTGTCATATTCAATTATTATGCTCAACACAGATCAACACAATGCCCAGGTAAAAAAGAAGATGACGGAGGAAGATTTCATCCGGAACAACCGGAGGATAAACGGAGGAAATGACCTCCCTCGGGAATTTTTGTCCGAGCTTTACCGCTCCATTTGTGAGGATGAGATCCGAATTACCCCAGATCGAGGTGCTGGTATTCCAATGATGGCACCAAGCCATTGGATTGGTCTAGTTCATAAATCAAGGCAAACTTCCCCATATATTATCTGTGATCCTGGTCCATATCTTGATTATGATATGTTTGCTATGTTGTCTGGTCCTGCAATTGCTTCCATATCTGTGGTTTTTGATAATGTGGAGCAAGAGGATGTTTGGGAAACATGTATCAGTGGATTCCTTGCCATTGCCAGAATTGCAGCTGCCTATAGCTTCGATGATGTGTTAAATGATTTAGTAGTATCTCTTTGCAAGTTCACAACCCTTTTGCTTCCATCTTATGTTGATGAATTTACTGTTGCATTTGCGGAAGATGGTAAAGCTAGATTGGCCACATTAGCAGTCTTTACATTAGCGAACGAATATGGAGATCACATTCGCTCTGGTTGGAAGAACATCCTAGACTGCATTTTGTGTTTGCACAAATTGGGCCTTCTCCCCACACGTCTATTTAGTGATGCTGCTGATGACTTGGAGTCTACTGGTGATGCAGACCCTAGGAGACCTACTGCACTTTTTCCATCACCATCTCGTTTTCCTTCATCGACTCCATCAAGAAAATCATCTGGCTTAATGGGGGTGTTTAGCCAACTATTATATCTTGACGAAGAACCTGCACCACAGCCAAATGAACAACAGCTTGCCGCACGTCAGCAGACTCTTCAGACAATTCAGAGCTGTCACGTTGATAGCATCTTTGCCGAGAGTAAATTTTTGCAAGCTGAGTCCCTGTTACAGCTTGTTCGGGCCGTTGTGTTGGCTGCAGGCAAGCCTCGCAAAAGAAACAATTCTCTGGAAGACGAAGAGACTGCAGTATTTTGTCTAGAGTTGCTTATTGCTATCACAATAAATAACCGTGACAGAATAATGCTTCTTTGGCAGGTCGTCTATGACCATATAGCAAGTGTTGTCCATTTAACAACAATGCCATCTACTTTGATAGAGAAGGCTGTGTTTGGTCTGCTTCGCATATGCCAAAGGTTACTTCCGTACAAGGAAAATCTCACAGATGAGCTTCTCAAGTCTCTGCAACTTATCTTAAAGCTTGATGCTCGGGTTGCTGATGCATTTCTTGAACAGATAACCCGGGAGGTTATGCACCTTGTCAAAGCAAATGCTATGCAGATACGATCTCATATAGGCTGGCGGACAATCATATCTCTGCTTTCTTTTACTGCTCGGCATCCCGAAGCATCTGAAACAGGTTTTGATACACTAGTGTTCATCATGGCAGATGGGGCCCACCTCTTGCCTGCTAATTATGTTCTCTGTTTGAATGTGGCGGCGCAGTTTGCTGATTCTCATGTTGGGAATGTTGATCAATCTGTGAGATCTTTAGACCTGATGGCTGGATCACTTATCTCTCTTATTAGATGGTCTCACCAGGCGAAGGAAGCACTTGGGCAGGAGGCTGCTGTAAAAATGACCCAGGATATAACAGAAATGTGGCTCAGGCTGATACAGGGACTGCGTAAATTTTGTAAAGACAGGAGAGAAGAGGTAAGGGATCATGCCATCTTGATGCTGCAGATGTGCTTGACTGGAGTTGATGGGATCCATATCCCTGAAGATTTGTGGTTGCAATGTTTTGATCAGGTGATATTTACATTACTAGATGAATTACTCAATCTTGCCCAGCCGAGCTTTGTGAAGGATTATAGGAGCACTGAAGGAGCAATAGTTTTGGCACTGAAGCTCATGTTCAAAATGTTTTTACAGTCTTTGAATCATCTCTCCCAGTCGACATCCTTTTGCAAACTGTGGTTAGGGGTCTTGAGTCTAACAGAGAGATGCATGAAGGTGAAATTTAAAGGGAAATGGAGTGAAAAGATCCCTGAACTCATTTCCGAGCTCCTAAAGAACACTCTACTTGTCATGAAAACAAGTGGAATTCTGGGGCCAAGTAATCCTGTAGGAGGGGACAGCTTCTGGAAGTCAACATGGTTGCATGTCCACAAAATATGCCCATCCCTTCAGACAGAAATCTTTCCCACAAACGAAGCAGAACAGTCGGAAAAACAGCATATCCAAGTAGGTTGTAGTCCTCTGGCAGAGGGAAATGTTATCGTCTCATCTGGTAATAGCACAGCTTGAAGACAAAGTTCCCATCAGGCAGGTCTTTGTACAGTGAAAGTGATATATTCTGCATCAGCACCATTATTAGCGTAAGCAGATGATGAATTTTTCAGCTGAGAACCAGTTAAGCTTTATAGAAGCAACATTTGGGAGCAAATCTGAATTCAGCTTCTTCGCGGTATGGTTTAGTTTACAGATTGTCATATCTTTATTTCCACTCTTCAAAAAGGCATATATTTGCAGCCTTGATGGCTGTTGAAGAAGGGGTTACTTTGATGAAATTTTGCACCGTCATCGCAGTTTCTGTACACACTCAAAGTCTGATAGTAGTTAACCATTTTGTCTGTACAATACTAGTATACTAGTACAAAATAGTGATTAATAGTATTAATATGAAATATTTCCATCAGGTTGATACACAGTTTTCTTGAAATAATATATTGCGATTAACTAATGAACAAGTTTTTATCTCCAATGTTGATTAGTCTTACTATTTTTTTCAAGTTTTATTCTTACTTGGGAAAATTTAGTCATCATATTACTAAATATACATATACTTTTATTTGTTCACAAAAAATAAACAAAAAAAAATTAATTTACACAATATAATAGATTTGTACAAAGCACTTGTTGTACAAATAAGCTATAACATATGGGAGGATTGTATACATGTAAGCAGATACTGGGGTCAACAAATATATATATATATATTATAGGACAACTTTCATATATAGCAAACAAAAAAATCATATTTGTATAATATAGCAAACTTTGCATAATTGCTCTCCATAGCAAACATAAAAACTGTATAATTCGCTATACATATAAAAGTGTATAATTCGCTGGCCTAAATTGTATAATTCGCTGGCCTATTTCGCTGCAATTGTATAATTAACTTTGCATACAGTTGAATCGAATTAAAATGTATGTATATTGCATAATTATAAGTGTATAGCAAGAAGATATATGTTTTTCTCGCTTTATACAAAAACAGAAACACAATATATACACTTTTGTTGTATAAAACTAGAAAAATTGTATTTCACTGCAATTGTATAATTCACAATTGTATAATTCTTTGGCCTTTTTCTCTGCAATATTTGAAGTAAAATGTTTGTAAATTATATAATTAAGTGTATAACACGAAGATATACATTTTTGCATGTGTATATACAATTTTCTCTCGCTTTATACAAAACAGAAACAGAAATTATACATTTCTGTGTATAAAGTGAGAGAGGCGAAAATGGGAGAGTGGCGAGCGAGACTTCTGGGAGAGAGACGCCTGACAAATTTTTGTCAATGTTTGCTATGGAGCACAATTAAATCAAACCCTAGCTATTCAATTTAATTTAGGTTATTAGTTTGCTATTTTATACAATTTTCCCTATATTATATCAGTTTGGAGTTCAACGGGCAAATTAATTGAGTGAAATTCTCAAAAAGTATATAAAAAATAAGATTAGAATGACGGAAGACGCAGTGGCCCTAAGTCACAAGGATAACGGTTACTTGTAAGTCGCGGATCAATCTAAGTCGTTCTCCTTACTGCTTAGTATTTTAAAAAATAAAATTTCATCAATTTTTTAAAAAAGTATTTCGTAACTGGAAAAAAAATTTATAAAAATTATTCAAGTTTAAATTTGGAGCTTATTGATTAGTACTATTACTACTTTTTAACATGTAGATTAATTATCAAGTTATTTTAATTGAAACACTTTGAAATAATTGTGTAAATTCACAATGTTTTTAAAGAAAGTAATTTTAAAATAGTGTTGTCTCCTTTTAAATAAAGATGATAATTTTTTTTTGTTTCACTCAAATATCTCTTATTAAATTAGTACTAATCAGTTCATTAGATTATATTTTCAAAAAAGAATAACGGCTCCTGATAATCCCTTTTAATGTAAATTTAACTAATTTGTTACCTAAATTTAAACTCAATTTGAAAAAGCACACTATAAATACATCAGTTAGACCTATAACGACTCTTTTTAACGCTAGTCTCTCTTCTTCACATCGTCTCTCTTCTTCACAAAGATCACTATTCTCTTCTCTCACACACTCTGTTGTCAAGGTCTTTCTCTCTACTGAACAACTTTGAATTGCTCTAAATGGTGAAATTCCCAATTCCATTTTCAATTTTACTTCTTGTTGGGCAAAAGAAGTCAAGTTTTTTTTGGGTGTGTTGCTGCAGACAACGGTGAAGATCATGGTGGCGAGGATAAAATTGCTGAGAAACAAGGAGGTGGTTGTCAGGAAAATGATGAGATACAGACATTGGTATGCTTCTCGAATCCCACTGCTCGATCGTATTCAGGTACTTTTCCCTCTTACTTAGGGTTCGAGGGCTTTGTTGATTGATTGATCAATTGAACCTCGAAATCAACTCGTAGAAATGTGTAATTTAGTATATCATGCCTGGGATCATTTATATTGAATTATTATTCCATCGATTTCAAGTTACGTCTTCTGAAATTCATTCACTAAAGTTTCAACTTTATCAATTCATACCCTTATTTGCCTCTAACGTATATATTACTTCAGATTTGAAAAATGTCTTGTGAAATTCAACCTATATAACGACTTTCTTATTCTTCTTTTTCTTTATAAGGGCTTAAATTTTGGTTGCAAGCAATGGCTGCGAATCCATCTGGGTTGGAGAATTGAATGGTGGAGCGGCCAAACTTGTGTGAGTGTTTTCTAATGTCTTGAATCATCAACTGTCTTTGCTCGTATCCTCCTTCTCTTATTCTTCCAAACTTGTGTGAGTGTTTCCCTGTTTTTGGTCTCAACTTTTTTATGTGTATTTTTTTCCTGTAGGAAAGTAATTGGAGTACTGAGTTTTATCTTATTTTTTGTGTATTTTCCTTATTACTGGTTCGATGATTCATTTTCTGTATGTTGGTTATGGCCTATGGGGTTTCTATAAATTTGTGTATGCAAGGGAAGTGATGGTGGGTTTTATGATTCTTTTTGGGGTTTTTATTCTAGGATTAGTAAGGAAAATGATTGAAGATATTGGGTGAAAATTAAAGTTGTGAAAATCAAGTGAAGTGATATGAGGGTTTTTGATATGAGGGGATTTACAGGAATTCTATTTTTTTGGTCAAGATTGTGATATTTGGAAGTTGAATCTTTTCTAAAATTATGTCCGAGTTAAGTATTCTTTAAAGTTAAATCTTTTCTAAAATTATGTCCAAGTTAAGTATTCTTTAATGCTTAAAAAGTATTATGAATGGAAAATCTGAAACATCTTCCCCCAATTCCTGCCTTTTTTATCTAGCCACTTTGCATTTTAAACATTTGAAGAAAGTTCTAATGAATATGTTATTAGGTTGAAGAAAAGTTCTCACAGTTGGATACCTTTTGTATTATAAGCTGTTTTGCACTGAGAGTAAATTGATAAAAAAGATTGTTTTTTGTATCTGAAGTTGTAACTAACTACTGGGAATCATTTTTTGCTTTGGTACCGTGTACATCCAAGACTAAGTATTAAGAAGAACATTTCTATACTTGCAAAAGTAATACAGTTCCAGCATCCTCCTCTGTCAGACCAAGAAGTAAACCTTTAATTGTTCAAATTGTTCTTCCTAAGATCACTGCCATTCCTCTTCCTGCCACTTGCAGCATAGACATTTCTCCATGTCACGCAGATGGATCATTAGTCTCCATTAATAAGCACCATATGTATTTGTTTTATCATCAAGGAGCTTCAATCAGAAAGATGCTAAGCAGAGGAGTTGGCTCATCCATCATTAGAACTAAAAACATCATTTTTTAGAGTTTGATTGCTCAACATGGATTAAAATCCTTCAAAATTTCCCTGTTTGGTCATTTAAAATGTGAATGTTTTGTCTTCTGCTCTAATTGTTACCTTTCTCATCTCCTTTATCTTGATTAATTTGTGAAACTTCAGCATCACTTGTGTCATTTTAATATAGTGATTTATACTCAAATGTACATGCAGGGAGGATCAAGATTGATCCCTTTTTCATTCCCTTCATTGTGAAAGGTTAGAGAGACTTCATTAGGTAAGAAACACAATATATGATTATTACTCAACCCAACTCAATTTTTTTAATGTCTTCTTTTTGTTAAATAAATTGAATTGTTTAAGTAGTGCATTCTAACTTTGTTTTTTTCCGGGCGGGGGGGCCTCGGGGCACTGTCAGCAGGGGATTTGAGGCGGGGGTATCATGTCAAATTAGCCAACAGACTCCATATTGGAGGTCTCAAGTTCGAAACCCCTTGCCAGCAAAAGCAAGGGGCGGCTTCTGGGTCGAGCTCGTGCACCAGGCTTGCCTAGTGCGGGTTACCTCTCTCCTATGTCAAATTAATAGCATAGGAGCGGGATAAAAGTTTTGGAAAATGTTTTCCAAGTCAACTCATTTTCCTCAAAATTAATCAAAAAATTAAGGAAAATATTTTCTACTCACCGACCAAATATGAGAATTGTCTTGCTTCGAACTTAGTTATATTTGGATACTGATGCATAATTTGTGAGTGGTAAAGGGATAGACACAAACATCTAAGACTTAGCACATATTGTCGTTTGCCAAACGAAGAAAATGAAAACATTTGTTTTTATATTTTCAACTAACTTCTTAATACTAATGTACCAAATCAATCTACATAGGTATAATTGCCAACTGGAAGCTAAATGCATGTATCTTGCAGTTCTACATTTTGGAACAATGGTTCTGTGTGTTTCACGGGTAGAAGAAAGAAAAAAGTATGTAGGTCAAATGAATGAGAAAATTACATGGTCTAGTTCTTAATCTCTTCCATATTTCTCAATGTTGCTTTCGCAATTTAAGAGCATTTAGAAGGTTTGATAGTCTGAATTATGATGTAAAGGTCCAATTATTGCAAAATCTTAGTCCATTGTTGAGTACATAGTTTCTTTTGTGAACGGCAAGCAGGTTATTGCAGAAAATTCAATATTCCAAGCTAAAGCGGAATCTGCAATCCTTCAGGTATTTTACCTGAAGATATTTACTGTCACTGTACTTTGATCAAACTAAAAGGTTATGGGTTTAGTGTTGTAGAGTGGTGCTAATGCTTTCCATCTTTTGTCACACAGAATAGTAGTTGATTTGTCTTTGTTCTAATTTCATCATTTGTTTTTCCTCCTTGTGCTAATTGCTCTTTGGGTATTTGAACAATCTGACCGTTTGTATTCAGGGACATTGTGGTTCTTGTTGGGCTTTTGGTGCTGCTGAGTCGTTGTCTGATTGTTTCTGATACTTAAATAAATTCATTCCTTCATGCAAAGACTTGCAAGTTTATTCTAGTTATGGTCACTAATGATTCAATTTTTATATATGAGGCAGAATATCTCTCTGTGTCAGCAAATGATATCGTAGCATGCATATATTGTAGGATATTTACACCCATTTTTAAAAAAAGATAACTATTATGCTCGACTAATAAAAATTTTCCTGTCAGTGTGACCCTTAGTTTGATAAAAAGGGATATTCCCACCCTGGATATCGCATTCTGCCGCAGTTCAAGAGGAAGTGTGTTAACAAGAATCTACTCCGGAGTAAGTCCGAGCATTTTTACGTCAATGCGTTCCTGAACGTGGAACTTGATGTCTGTGATGCTTTCCTCGACGCCTCAATGTGATTACTAATTCTTCAAGTAAAACACTAATTAAATAGGATTCAAGTTTCTGAAGATTTGGGGAATAATAACATTTTAAAGCTTCATATTCTTTCCCTCCTAAGTTATCCGCAATATTTGTAATCTGCAATTGTTCCACAATCTTAATGAGAGTAAAAGTACTCTTGCCTACTTTTTTGCATCAGGATGCTTTATGTAGTTTTCTGTACCCATCACCTTTAGTTTCTGATCGACGTTATGTGTCCTTCATTCCCCTTGATGTTATGGGTCCTTTGTGCTACAAATTACCATTTCTTTGATTACTTTGTGTGGTTGGTACATGCTTGCTACTACAGCTGATACTCGAGGCTTGTTGAAATTGGAATGATATTCATTATATAAAATCAAATTGCTCGAGTATCAAATCTAGATTGGCGTTTCTTTCTAGACACAACTAATCTGTTTTTGAGAGACTGGAAGATTAGAGATATTTATTCTCTTCAGACAGAAATCATTCCCACAACCGAAGCAGTTGGAAAAATAGCATATCCAAGCAGGTTGGCAGAGGGAAATGTTATCGTCTCATCTAGTAATACCACACCTTGAAGATGAAGTTCCTTTCGTGCAGGTCTTTGTACAATGAAGCAGGTCTTTGTGTCAGCACCAGTTAAGCTTTATAAGAAGAAACAGCATTTGGGAGCTGAGGAGCAAATCTTGAGTCAGCTTCTTCGCGGTATGATTTAGTTTACAGGTGGTGATATATCTTTCTTTCCGCTCTTGTTGGCTGTTGATTGAAAATTTAAAGAAGTGGTTGCTTTGATGAAAATTTGCATCGCCATCGCGGTTCCTGTACACGCTTAAGTTTGATAGTAGTTGAACATTTTATCTGTACAATAATACTAGTACAAAATAGTGTGATTAATATGAAATATTTCCATCAGGTTGATACGCAGATTTCTTGAAATACTAATAACAAGTTTCAAGTTCTACTCTAACTTGGAGGAAAACACAGTGCCCAAGGAGGCTGGTCACAGGTTTGATGGTTCTATAGTGGTGCTAATGGTTCAATTTTTATGTGAAGTTACTTTCGTTTAATGGTTAAACAAAAGGGGATGTAGCTCAAATGGTAGAGCGCTCGCTTTGCATGCGAGAGGCACGGGGTTCGATCCCCCGCATCTCCATTTCTTAATTTTGTTTTTCTGTTTTCGGTCAGATTTTTATTTTTTCATATTTAGTTGGTTAAAATTTTAAAAATATTTGTTCTTTAGAAAAAGTAAGTTACCTAAAAAATGAATTATGTATTTTCCTCTTAAATTCAGAGGGTCTGAAAGCAAGCTACCATATAGTTGCATAAGTTGGAGTGCTCATATATAAAACTGAAATAATTACTTGCGTAACATTCTCTCAAATTACATTTTAATAGCAATTTACTTTTTACAGTAATTCATTATATATAAGTATTTTACTTCTATGTATATATAAGTATTTTACAGTAAATCTAATGATTAATTTGATGCAAATTTAGAATTATAAATTTCAAATCGTGGCTACGGCCTTTGAATTTATAACAAATCAAGTAATAGTGGCCCTTGATTATGAAATCATCTACTATCACTAAATAGGAGTAACAACCTCGTTCCAACAACTTGTAACGGTTTTTCCCTCCTTTATATTTCTACTCAACTAACTAACAAATTCATTTTCTTGTGATCTCACATTATTCAATTTTATCAATCGAGAAGAAAATAATTTTTGAAATTAACACAATCATGTCTTACGGTGAAAGTGAGTATGGTGGAAGTGGAATTGGATCCGGACAGGGAAAACCCAAAAAGTCACATGGATCTGGATATGGACGAAACGACGATGATGAGCCCCAATCTGAATATGGATCTGGTTACGGGTCAAAAAGTGCTACTCATGACTCTGATGATCAGTACGGGTCAGGTGGATATGGGAGCAAAACCGGATCCGGTGGGCATGGAAGGAAAAGTGAATACGGGGATAAGAGTTCGGAATATGGATCTGGTTATGGAAATGAATCGGGTGGATATGGGAGTAAAACCACATCCACCGGGTATGGAGATGATTCGGGTGGGTATGGGGGTAAAACCACATCCACCGGATATGGAGATGATTCGAATGGGTATGGGAGTAAAACCACATCCACCGGGTATGGAAATGATTCGGGTGGATATGGGAGTAAAACCACATCCACCGGGTATGGAGACGATTCGGGTGGGTATGGGAGTAAAACCACATCCACCGGGTATGGAGATGAATCGGGTGGGTATGGGAGTAAAACCACATCCACTGGATATGGGAATGAATCGGGTGGGTATGGAAGTAAAACAACCTCCACCGGGTATGGAAATGAATCGGGTGGGTATGGGAGTAAAACCACATCTACCGGGTATGGAGATGAATCGGGTGGGTATGGGAGTAAAACCACATCTACCGGGTACGGAGATGAATCGGGTGGATATGGGAGTAAAACCAAATCCACCGGTCATGGAAGAAAGAGTGGTGGTGATGATGACGACGATGATGAGGGGAAAAAATCAGCATACGGATCTAGTGGGTATGGGAGTTCAACAGTTGAGAGGCCTAGTTATGGTAGGTCCGAGGAAGATGACTACAAGAAGTCTAGCTATGGGAAGGGCGGTGACGATGATGAAGGCTATGGTCGCAAGAAATATGTAAGTAGTTTTTATTTTTGAATCGCATAATAAAAACAACTTGTTATCTTATTGATTTAATCTTAATAAATTGGCAGGGTGATTCTGACTCTGACTCCGACAAGGAGAAGAATAAAAATCGTCGCAAAAAGCACTCCGATGATGATTGAGCAGAGTCATGATTTTCTCAAATGTGATCTATTCATGTGTTATTTGAAGTTAGTTAGTAGTAAATAAAATAAAATTGGCATGTCTTCACAGTGTTTTATTGTTACGTTGCAAAAAACACTGATGATTGAGCTGAGATGCTTTTGTCATCCGCTCCAAATTTATGCCATATTATTATTATTAAATGAACTTTTTTATGTGTTTGTCGAGTCATGTTTGTACAGAGAAGGAAATGCCAGTAGTTATTTGTATCAATAGGTACTTTGCTCTTCTCTACTTCAATAAAATTTAGGACTTTTTTGGTGATATATGCTATAAAAGTTCTTCTTTTCTATATGTATACTATTAAGGTACGTTATATAGTTAATGAAAATAAGTACTCCATTCGTCTCAACTTATTTGGTGCGTTTTGCCTATCAATATTAAAATTAGATGAAATTGACTAATACACTTTGAAATTTTTTATAGTTTATTATATAAATATTAAAAATTAGCCATAACAATAACCTCAAATCACTCTCTAATTAACGGTTCAGTTTTGCAAAATAATTTAGAAAAACAAATCCAACGCTCCAAAAAAAAAACTAGCCGTTACCAACTCCAGAAGCGTGAAAAGCTCAACTTCTTCTTTTTCCCTCGTCGATCAATGAATGAGAGAGAACCAGAAAACCCTAGCCAATCAGTAATCCAACTAAACCCTAACTCTGATCAACTCTTCGGCGATAATCACATTGCTTTTTTCGGTGATTTTGATGGATTCTATCGGCAAATCCACTAGGCTTACGCCTAAAAAATGCTCCAAAATTTCTGAGAATGCGAACCCAAATGTGGAGCTCAGTCCAGCTTTATCAAAATCTTCTAAATCAGCGAGTAGAATTCAGAGTTTAGTTTCCAGGAATTCTAGTACTAACAAATTGGCTTCAATTTCGCCGAAAAATAAGATTAGTCAGAGGAAGTTTGTAATCGCGAAGAAGAAGAAATGTAATAAGGATAATCTGAAATCTAAAATGATTTGTAACTGTGATAAGGATGGTGCTGAGAAAAAAAAGTGTCTTTGTGTTGCTTATGAGAGTCTCAGGGCTTCTCAAGAAGAGTTTTTTAAGAATCGTTGTGGAAATGAACATGAAGAGTATGAAATTGAGGAGTTGGATGAAGTAAATAGAGCTGAAAATGGCGACGGAGAGCGAATTATGGGGTGTTACGGTGATTCGCCAGTCAGGCATAGGTTGAGTCTGACTACAGTCGATCAGGAGGTAACAGTTCCTGTTTCAATTTCCGTTGAATTGCGCGATAGTTCCGTGGCAGATGAATTAGTGGAAAGGGGCAATGAGGATGTGGGTCGGCGTGAAATGAGTGGTGGGACTATAAAGAGGAGGAGGGAGAGGTTGTTGGAAGAAGCTAGACAAAGTGTACCTGAAACTGGTTCTGGAAGAGTGAAGCATTTAGTTAAGGCTTTTGAGAAGCTTCTCTCAATACCAAAAACAAAAGGGTGTGAGGAGAAAGGGGAAAATGATGAAAATGAAGCAGAGGATTCAAGCAAGGAACAAAAATGGGCATTGCCTGGCTTACAACCTCCCAAGATTTCTGAGACACAGGTATCTTCATCCTCGTTTTGTCCATCGGATTTCTTCCTCAACTCTGAGAGTTTAGGCTTGGATTCACGTCGTGTCTCCTCATTGGATAGCAACCATGGATGGTTAGTAATTGAAACTTCATTTATCCTATTAGTTTTTCTGTTTTCATTTTTTAAATCGTAAGGATTCATTACAAATTGACTATTGATCGTCAATCTAATGCAATCCTTCGATTAATTTAGGATTGATATGTATTTTTTTCTTTCGAGTGCTGAAATTATACTGTTCTTTTTTCTTTTGCAAGCTTCAGTATGTCAAGCAGGACTTCAGGTGGTGGTCGAAGGAGCAGACGCAATGTAATAATTTTCTTCTTATTATCAATCACAGTATGATGGGGTTGAATTCTGTTAATCTTTAAGCTCTTGTTTTCATTCTTAATGCTGCAGAGTATGGAATCATCAATCACATTTGCTAAAAGAAACTGGAAGAGAAAGCAGCTCAAAGTGACCTTGCAAAAGCCTTTCAAACTAAGAACTGAGGTTTGTGAATTGCGTGTTTGGTTTCTCTAACCTTTGGCTAATTGGTTGCTTCTTGTGCAAATATGACAAAATATGCAGCTGCATATATCTGGTTGACATGTGCTAGCTGCCCGACAAAATAGTGAGTTGTGCAGAGTGGACACCGAAAGATGGACGGAATAATGATGGCTACAAGAAACTCGGAATATTGAGTTCCCTTTGTTGACATTTATAATGTTCATTGTTTCTTGACCACTAGCAGGGTGGTCTTAATTTATCCTGTTCTTTGATTCAACAGTTAAATGTCTCCTACCATTGTTGAACTGCATATATTAGTATGTCATGTTGAATCCAATTAATAATTTATCCATTTACTTGAGGAGTTGATTAGATTGGCTATTGTTGCAGGAAAGGGGAAAATGTAAAGAGGAAGAGTTTTTAAAGAAAGTGCAACAAACGGTGGAGGAAGAGGAGAAACAGCGGATACCAATTGCACAAGGTCTTCCATGGACAACAGAGGAGCCAGAGGTAGTAGCCTAAGCTTTTCACCAGTCATTTCCAACCATTAAAGACTTTCTATGCATTGTTGATCTCGTATTTTTGAGACTGGACTCTTTTAAACCAAAATCAAAGAGAAACTAGGATGAAATTTTTGAGACTGGACTCTCTGATCACTATGCACAAATCTTTTGCACTTGGGTTATACTTCAGCCTGTTATGAAAAGAAAACTGAATTGTTCTGTTCTCAATTGCTTAGTGTTTGCCAAAGCCTCCGATGAAAGAAAGCACAAGGCCAGTTGATATGGTGCTGCACAGTGACATTAGGGCTGCTGAACGTGCCGAGTTTGATCATCAGGTAGATTTTGATTATTCTATATTTGTTCATTCATCAACCTAAAGTAATTCTTTTAGTGAACGAGTTGGCTTAAGTCTCGTGCAAAATGTTGCTAGAGATATCTCAATATTTTTCTCAAAGATAGTGCACCAATAAGAGAAGTCCCAAGCGAAGCTGTTAGAGTGAAAAAGGGCTAGTTTTAGATTCTTGTTCAATGCTATATTTCATTAGGGGAAAGCAAAGTATATGAGAAATATCTGCAATATGTAAGGAAATAACCAAAGAGAGTGCATTGGATAAGAGGAGAGGACCTGTAAATGGCTTGTCATTTGTGGAGGCACGGTAACTTATGTTCCTGGTTTCTCCATGATTGCATCAGGTGGCAGAAAAAATGAGCCTTATTGAACAATACAAGATGGAAAGAGGTAGAATGCAGAAGGTAATCCAAGCATATGTTCTGCGATTGAAGCACGTGTATTTGGAGTTTTTCTCCTTCATTCTTGTTTATTTTTTAATTAAAAAAACGATATTGTTACTTTCTCTAGATGGCTGAGGAAGAAGAAATTAGGAGGCTGAGAAAGGAACTTGTTCCAAAAGCTCAACCGATGCCCTACTTTGACAGGCCTTTCGTTCCTAGAAGGTAGTAACAAGGTTCCAATTTTACTTTATGTTCCTCTCAAATTTTTGCCTAATAGGTAATACTGGCTATAATTCAGAATTACTTCTAAATAGTTTGGTGGTCTGCATTAGGTCAACAAAAGATCCTACCGTTCCAAGAGAGCCTAAGTTCCATATACCTCAACATAAGAAGATAAAGTGCTGCATGTCTTGGAATGGTATGTACATACACAACAACAGTGAATGGGGGATGCAGCAATGACAAGTGAGGCAGCAATGACTAATGAGGCAGACCTGCATTTGGGTTTGCATCACCTACTCATATTCTTTTATTCAGCGATGGCTGTATATGAAGCAATAGTTTATCATAATCGTATCAATTTTGGTATTGAATCACTAACTTTTCATAATTGCCTCAATTTTGGGAAAGAAAACAGTGATTTTGCACAACACAGAGTACTTTTGTGATTATGAATGAGAACATTTTAATGCTCTCATTTTTTTTTCGCTTGAAATGATCGTTGAACTCTCTTTTCATTGCTTATCATTTTATCGACAAACTTTTTTATATGTCAACTAGGCTGTCACAACTCAAAATCTACCTAAAAGTGTAGAAAATAAGTGAACCTGCAGTGAAAACATGGACACAAATATTTCTTGGTCAAGAGTGGCGACTGGCCAGCACGCACTATCGGATCAGCCCTTCCTTTCTCGTTGAACCGAAGTGGGGACTGGGAAGGTTGTTGACAACTCTCCGAGCTCTTACTGAAACAAATTCTTTGATACCTTGGTTCTCTTTTATTTGGCTGTATCAGTTTCCATAATTTTTATGGAAAATTTGCACTTTTCATCCCTGAAATATCAACAAATTCCTTATCTGTTAAGCACATCTAACGTTCGATCAATCAAAATGTTTACTTTTGATTCTTTTGCTTGTGAATCTCAAAAATTTAACGAACTTACAACTGTCAAACTATTTAATCACTTATGTCATATGATTTGTGATGCTTCTCATATTATAGGAGAATTTTTGCATATTGCCACAAAAAAATAACTTAATTATGTTACATAGCTATAGTTTGCTATTTATGATTTGTAGCTACATGTTAGAAGCAGAAGAGGGCGAGCGAGAGAGGGCAGAGAATGGAGAGAGGTGAATTGCATATATATATTTGTATATCTGGCAAGCGAGATTGGGAGAGGGAGAGGCGATTTGTATATGTATATTTGTCAAATTGTATATGTAAATCTGTCAAATTGCATATATTAAATTGGTATACATATTTGTGTATTTGGTGAACGAGATCGGAAAAGGCGAGGCGAGAGAGGGCAGTGAGCGGAGAGAGGCGAATTGTATATGTATATCTCTTAGATAATTGTATATATGTAACTAATATACATAAGTATTTGTATACCTGGAGAATGAGATTGAGTGAGGGAGGAGAGAGGAGAGAGGCGAGCGAGAGAGTGGAGAGAGGCTAATTGTATTTATATGTTTGTCATATAATTTTATTTATATGTACAAGTGACGTAATTAAGACTAAAAATAAGTTGCAAACCAATGTTATATATTGTTTGTCACTTGATTTTCTTTAAGATGTGTAAAAGGATTCGAATAATGGTGCCTATCCCACATATTAACGCTCATGAATTTGGCGCCCTAGAACATTCAAAATATTTTTCTTAACGCCTATTTTCGTATTTATAGACCTTTTTTGGAAATCACATTAATTCCCCAATGTTTTCTTGTATAAGTTCATGGATCTAGCACCCCGAAAAACCCAAAAAA